TCTGACTTATGTGTTATGATAGATAATTCATTACGATTTTAAAGAGTTATTGCCAATTTGACAAGGGTAATTCTCGAATACCTTAATTCATATATCAAATAATGTATGTATAATATTTCAATATATGTAATAACTATATATTGTCAATGACATTTTAAAGTCCAATGACCAATATCATTTTCTTTTATTGTAAACATGTAAGGAAATGCGTTTTCCTTCCTGTTTTTAGTTTCTATCGACAACTTTCTAGAACATTAGGGATCGTCCGTTATTAAGTGGTTAATCCAGGTGGTCTATGACTTCAAAGCACTTGCCCTTTTACCGCTGTAGGCTCGAGTTTCGCAAGTGACTGTTGATTCTTCCATTTATAGAAGCTATCCAGCTAGCTTATGGTAACGTCGGTGGTTTTAATCAGGAGACTGTTCGCACCTTCAATAATTCACATGCACGGAAGGGTATATGAGGTGTTTCGCAACCAGCAAAGCTGCTGAAGAGTAATCCTATAGCAACCCTCCTGTTGGTGCAACTTAAAACTAAACCCGAATCAAATTATAAAAAATTAAAATATGGTTGATTACGTTGTTACAATCATAATGCAATGTTAAGCTTTGTTTTATTTGACAGAAGATGTGTGGTAAAGATTTATAATTTTATCGTTATTCTGTCTCATTTTGAAAATATGTCAATTTCTTAAGAAAAAATGGCGATATCAATGAAATAAGAAATGTATCGACAAACATCGAAATCATTTTAATGCGTCAAGTTAAATAACATCAAATTGTTGAAAGATTTGCAAACGATTACATTAATGGAATATTTTAGAATATGCAAAAATTGATTTTGACATTGCGTCCGGGATTTTTACAGCTGTAAGTCAAAGCGGGACATTTAGACTGAATGTTTGTGCACATGGTATTCTCCGATGACTTCTTAAACCTGCTAGCTTATATGTACATTTTATAACTTACGTGAGGGATGTTGCACTTATTCATTATCCCTAATGTACAGACTCAATCAAACCGAGTCTGCAATTCTTTTAAAATTTTGTTGTGATGAATGCTTCCGAGGGATCACTTTGTTTCCAGATTTGTTTTTTAAGATTTGCATCAGTCAGTTTAACCTTATCTATTGGAACAACAGGATTTATATAGTTACTTCTTTGTAAACTTAACATTTATTTGAATGAATGTTTTTTGTTTATACACATACTGAATGGATGGATCTTGGTATTCTGACATTACTTATTCACTCCAACCAGCATGCGCTTCTTTTGAAGCATGTTTAGTTTTTTAGCGAAACCTTTGTATAAGCTTGATGGTGGAAAAAGTTCTTGCACCTGTTAATAGAAGTCGCTTTGCGTTTTTTACCATGTCCCTGGTTAAAACCAACGGTCCCTGAATTGAGAGACCAAGATCTCAATTATGAGACTACCTTTCCCCTTGAGCTTTTTATAGCTTGACTTGAATTTAGCAAGTTAATTTGTACTCGAGTATTCAAGGTCTCATTCCTTACAAACATTTCAGACTCTTTTAGTTCGTATGGACACGCTAAAATAATTTTACAACTACATTTGTACTTCAAGTCTTTTGTGGGTTTTTTTCGGGTTATTTTCCGGAATAGGGATTAAGCGGCAGATTGTTCGGGTTTGAAACAAGCACAAACAATCTTCTCACTTTCATATCTATATGTTTTCTGTATGTGTTTTCTGTATGATACAAAGCGGTTGTAGAAATTACTGTAGAAATTTAATTCTACTCAAAAGTTTCCTTTACAAAAATATAAGATCATTTATTCTTTTGTATGTTTTTTAATTTTGATTAAATGATAGGAATTTAACAAGCCAACATATATTATCACACAAAATTAGAAATCATAATTTAGGCACATCCGTCTTAAGCATAAGTAAAGTATGTGGATTTTGATTCTTGTGGCATAAGCATTATTTGAAAGTTTAGTTGCTTTTTTCATGAATTAGTTTGAACAACTCTATTAGCTGAACAATAATATTACCGTCATAGTAAACTGATGTTTATTAGAGTACAGTTTAATATGACCTTATGCCACAAGAAACAAATATTTTAACATGCTTATACTTATTCTTTGACAAGATACATAATAGTACTGCGTTGATATCAGGTTAACAAAACTAACATTTTAATCAAAGATTGTCGACTATTTAATAGCATGTGAAATCATTTACAGTAATGACAATTAAAACCTAAAATGATGAAGCATTTAGAATAAAACTAAAGAACATTCAATGTAAAATCACAATCATTTGAAATAATTTTAAACAAATTACATGAAAAGAATGTGTTAACTTCTCAATTTAATGTACAGTTTTCTCTTTTTACCACACTATTCATTGTTACGAGCTCAACGCAACAGAGATAACGCAGCAACAAGTTTTACAACTTTTAACTAAAGAAAACAAGTTATTTACAAAAATACAAAAATATGAAAGTAAAGATTAACTCACAAGTTTCCACGATTCAAACTTAATAAATGTCCTGAAGTTTAACTCACAGTTCGAAATTCAATTGTCCACAACCTAAATTTAATCAATGTCAAATGTCCACAGCAGAATATTACAATATGCCCAAAACACTTCCCACACAGGAGAACAAAATCAAACATAAATATTCCAGAATGAACATGAAAAGAACTTTCTTGAAAGAAGATGAATGAACATGGAAAATAATATAAACATCAAATAAACAAAATTATCAAAAATAACAGTTGCAAGAGTAGGTATCGAACCCACGACCCCGAGATTATCAGTCTTGCGCTCTACCTACTGAGCTATTCAGGGGAAAATACTAAGCACATTTATAATAAAGCATATATACATAAAATCAACACATTTATGGTGAAATTGATTTTAAAACTATACACAGTCTAGTAAGACAAAACATTTTCACTCATTATTTAACACAACCTAAAATAGCAAAATTCATAATCATTCAAACGAAGAAGGTTACAATAACAAACAAAAAAGCTTTGCTAGTAGTATAATAAACGGTAAAAAAGAAGTCAATTATCAATTAGATTGATCTACAAAAATGATTATTTACATGTTGCAATTAAGTAAATGTTATCTTACATCAATAAAATACAATTGAATTTATATGTCAATTTGAGTCCTAATTGTAAAGTAAGAATATTTATTTTATCTCTTTTGTAAAGTCAGCATGTCTTGTTCATTTCATATTTTAAATGCAAAAAAAATGATGGTTTAGGCAACAGAAAGTACAGGTTGTAACTTTCCATGGTTATGTAATAACAATTATGTTTTGAAGTATCAAAATTGTATAGGATAAAACCAAACACGGCGAACTAAAAACGTTGCATTGGTTTGATTGAACCTTTTTATCAAGCTTTTGGTAAAATTTAAAGCATTCGTAAAACAAGTCGTTAAAACAATTATACTTGACAAAATCTAGAAAAGTATTAAAAATCAATGTTACATAGTTTCAAAATGATCTTCTGGTGTGTATTGGTAGAATACTAGCTCAAAGTAAAATTCTATTGTTTGCAAAATATTTTTAAAAATCAAATAGTGCTATTTGGAAACCTCTCTACCTCAATTTTTTATATCAAAAATCGATTTAAAGCGGGAAATAAATTAATTGAAGACATCCAAGGTTATAAATAAGGTGTCTTTCAGCTGTTTTTAAGCACAGTACAGGTTTCAAACTGATTTTAAGATATCTGTCATTGTTTCATTGTGTATTGCAAATTGAATTATAGATAATTAAAGTTATAATTAGTTTACTTTAGATAAAATAACTTCAACTATTTGGGTTTATGCAGATTTTGATTTCCATAACTGGATATAACAATTTCTTGTTCGACTCGTGTGCATAACTCCAAGCTTCAAATAAAAAAGCTCATATGTCATAACAATTCAATTAACATGTTAACCGTTTACTATAAACCATAAAACCTTTGAACAATAACTTATTGTCTATGACAATAGGATTGTGACGTTTCATTTCATAGCACTGATTCCGAGTCAAATGGTAAATCGCTGTATAATTTACAAGAAGTCGGGTGATTGAATGACATTTAACATTTTGTCATCAGATCGATTTTTTAAAGTTTTCTTACTTTTTTCACGTTTTTTTTTTTTTTTTTTTTTTTTTTTTTTTTAAATTTTATTTCTGATGTGAATAAATTGTCATACAGGAGAAAGTTCGTGCGTTGTTGACACCTTTTCTAGTTTGTTATATTCCTTACTTTTTAGACAACCATTTTATTTAGTATGTACGGAACTTAAATTACTTGCACCGCACATACTCATTGTACGGCGAAGTGAAGCGTGCAGTACAATCGCGCACAAATATTTTGCACCAACTCATCTAGAATGAATGCAATTTTCTCAGATGATATATACATTCCATTAAATATATGATTCTTCCAACTTTATAAACATTGATTTTGGATACATAACCAATTGCAATAATCAGAATTACGACAAAATGTCTTTGACAAATCTTCATCATGTAACAAAAACATGTTGTGAACTACAATCTTAAATCATTTTTTTAATTCAATGTCATGTAATAAAAATATTTTTTCTACATAAAAAATAAACGTAATAACTTAAAAAAAGAAATAATGCACAGTTTAAAAAATATTTATAAACACAACTCTACAAAATACAATGTTCAGTAGATTTATTTAATTTGTAAGTTTGCAAAAACGTACAGTCCGGAACGTTGTATTTTATCTAAAAAAAATAACTTATTTTTCTTATGCACAAAACACACTTGATTGTCTACATAAATAACAAGGAAGACAATTGTCAACAGGTATATTCTAATGCCGAATGCACAACAACAGTCAAAAAACATCACAATGCTTTTAATAGTTTCTTGTACTCGTAGTGATGTCTTTTTATCGAATTCGTTCTCCATAATCTTTCTCTGCAAAGTAAATATCTTACAGTATCTTTCTGTGGGACTTTCGTTATTGCAAAACGAACCCATACACACACATACGTTCATAACAATAAGTACAAACTCTGACAACTGCGTGAGGTAATAGATCCTTTGGCTTAATTGTCATGTGTATTGTTACTTTTGTTTGTAAACAGGAAGTCAAATCGAAGTCATGGCGGGAATATTTGTTATGTATTTGCATCTTTCTGTTACAAAAAAAAATCATCCTTAGACTTCATATGCATTATTGGAACAATAAAGCAAGTATCAAATTTACTGCACTTGACAAGCATATAAATCTAAAAAAAATCAATTCATTAAATGTTTAATGTCATTGTAAATTCCAAGGAAAATATTCAAGATATAATTTGCAGAAAAGTGTTTAGCTATCGTTATGAGTAAAGTTGTTTTTGGCGTTTATTTTGTTACATTCTGATATTTTTTTTATTTTGCTTGATCATTAGAATTTTTCTGTGTGAAAGATAGTAACAATGAGTGCATAGAATTTACTTTTGTTTCAATAGAGCTGACTCTGTTGTCAATTGCATCTAATTGATGTTTTGTTTTTTTAATTTCAAAATCTTTAAGAGAGCTAACTTTCAAAGCAGCAAGTATTGACTGTATAGGGGTAATAATGCATGTTTTATAAGAAACTCCACCTTCAACCATTCCTACACATTCAAAATCTCCTGACATTCCCTTACAGAAAACAAGCGAGCCTGAATCACCATGCGTAGCAAACTTTTCAGTTTCTATTTCAAGCTGATTCAAAAGTCTGATGGTAAACCCATTATGCTCGAACTCAAAGGTCCTTACACAGACTGGTGTTGATTTAATTCTACCTTGAGTAAAATCTGAGATGCAGCCAAACTTAAACAAATCTTTCCCCAAAACCCTTGATACACCACATGTCTTGCCAGTTTCAAAAGTGTACGGTATATTGATTCCTGAAACAAAATATGACATTTAAACGTTTTTGGAAGTGTTGTCAATGTATTAGAAGTAAGGCTTTTATTACACTTTTCTAGCAATCAAAGAGAGGACCAGTAGATAATGTTGCATGGCAAATATATAGTCTATAATATGTTCGTAATCCCTTTACCATATACATAAACAGAGATAATATCTGGTCCCTTGAAATGACCATTTTACCTTAGCAGAAGCGACAATTGTTTTGTAAAAATCACTTTAAAATATAACATACAAACTTTCAAAGTCGGAAAGAGAAAAGAAAATACAAATTCGACGAATGGAATTTAACTGACCATCAAAATGGGTTAATTGTGAACACAGATTGTTCGAAAGAATGCTAGAGTTGCTTAATGTCAATTTAAAAACCCTTTGCCATTTTTGTCATTGGAAGACGTCATTTGTCATTGCCCACTCGGGTTTCAAAAACTTGAGCTTACAAACACATTTACGGACATACGAACTGGCCCCATTACAAAAAGTTCCCATACATTAGGCGTAGACATAGATAATAATGTTAATCACAAACTCAACAAAGGATGGCCTATGTCATAAGGGTTTAAAGAACTAAATGAGATTGTAGTTGTATTATTTAAAATATAAATGACGTTTTAGTTTTGTATGGTCATATATCCAAATAACTAAAATATGCATGACACATAGTACCTATGGCTTGGTCAAAGCGAGACGTAGAACATTCAAGTCTTCTGAGGAAATGACCGTCGTTGCCAAAATGCAAAGATTTTTTTTAAAAACTTTTTGCAAACGATTTTATCATTTTCTGACCGGTTTAAAAATATAAAGATTCATGACGTATTGACGGCAAAATGATGCTATTTGCAGACACATAAGTAAGCATCAGTTTATCAATATCATTCTCCAAAAATAGTGTCTTACCATTCGGTCCAATCCCTGGGAAGTGACCTGATATTGGTGGTCTATCTTCTATCTGTATAACAGCTACCTCTACACCTGCTTCAGACTGGTCACCTTCCTTGTAGATAGCTTGTACAATGCGTCCTATCTTATTGATTTTATCTGAAACAATGTTCGGCTGACAAACGATATCACTAGAAAATATTTTTGGCCAGGTTATTTCTCTGTTATGTTCAACACATTTTCTTAATTCATCAGGAAACATCAACGCGTGTGCACATGTTATACCACAAACCCCATAACTCGGGTGGTCAATGAACCCTCCAAGAGTTCCACCTAAATCACCAGCTATTCCTGTGAACCTGGTTATCTTACACCCCATTTTGATATCATCATGATACTCTCTCGCCGTTCCGTAAGGAAAAAACAGACCTTCCCTAATATCAACTTCAACACCATCATAAGTGTTTTGAAATGCATCCTCTTCTATTGGTATAAAACCTTTAACAAGCACATATAAGGCGATACAGCTTTGTTTGCTGAAACACATAGCACTTGGTTTATAGTTTTTTGACCTAACAATACTCCCAGATATTACATTAAGATATCTATGATTGTCCATCAGTTTTCCTGCGTACTTTGATATGCATGCACTTAGTTTTTTATTTTCATCATCACTCATTATCTGTTCCCTCTCTTCTGTGCTAGAGCTTATATCAATTCCTTCTGTACTCAAATCACCGTAATTTCTTTTCATCATTCTGTATCCTATGTCATTTTCATTTAGATCAAAATCCCACATTACAGTTACAACAAAAAATATTTTCCGCTCATTTTCCTTCTTGTACGCAGCATAAACGTGAAATATATATTCTGAGGAACTCTTTATTATATTGCAAATCGACTCACAACATTGAACAACTAATTTGTCTTTTCTATCGCGACTTTCGCATATTCTGTCTAGCTCATCTTGATTTACTATTTTCCCTATTTCTTTTACTTCTTTACATAATGTACCTTTATTTTCCGAGATATTCTCTGTAAAACAAAATACCCAAAATAGAAATATCTCAGATTAAATCAAAATAAGGTCATAATTCTAAAATGCAGAGACAGGCATTTCTTAACGTTGAGGAAAGGTCTTTTTGGCAAGAAAGCCATAGTCGTAGTATTTAGTATAGCTCCACTTGAAAACGTTTTATAACTTATGCTCACACACGGATTGAAATGTATTACCCTGCAAAAGTTCAGGGTAATACATTTGGCATGGCCATTTAGTATTTAAAGACGCAATATCTATATTTTTGTAGACGTAATACATGCAATGATAATTCCACATTTAGCATGCGATCCGTGTAATTCCTGTACGAGTTATGATTCAAGAATTCTGGTGCAAAAATGTAAACTCTTGTCATCGTGGTTTTTACGTGTGCTAATAATCAATAAAATCAATTTTCTAAGAGGTTATGAAGGCATATTGGTTGAATATATGGAAATAAATCGTGTTATTTGTGATTCTTTGCACAAAGACCAATATTGTACATGTACTCTCTCTTTAAGGTAAATTTAAGATAAAACTTTTTAGGGCGCTTGTTTTTTTTTATTTATTTCGTTTATGATAGATAAGCAAATTTATTTTATTTTCAACATACCGGAATTTAAGAACATTCAACTAGATACATGAACGACTACACGTTAAAACCCCGACTAAAAATGAAGGATTACAACGATGCTTACTTATTTCATTTATTTATGTGTTTTTATATTTGAAATTTTTTCAGGTTATTTTCTTTTCCGACAAAAATTAAGAAAGAAGCCGGAGAGAACGAACAAAAAAAAAACTGATAGGCATATAAATTTGTAAATGATATTACCACACCATCGAAAGACAGTAAAGTTTACAGTGAACACTCAGAATACAAAATCCACTTCCTTCATATGTGATATATTTGCGTAGTTCAAGTTAAAAAATAATTTCAAAACGGCGCGAAACAAAAATGATATTTCCCTTTAGAGAGAGGAATGAGAATGTTGTTCTAACATTATGGAAATCAAGAAATTGAAACACTTAACCTAAGTGTTCAGTTCTATGGATAGTTAAATCCCTTGCTTGACTTAAAGCTTACTGTACAACTATCAAAATACAATGTTAAATTTAAAAAAAACTAATTGCTTAGGTTAGAAATCTCAAAATCTTAATGCACAGTCACTAAGAGAAAAAGAGAAACTATTAAAAGCTAATTGTGATGTTGTGTTTTACACAGGTATTCAAAACAAATGCCTCAACATGGAACCTTCAATGTGACAATGTAGTGCCATTCCATAAAAGCGGCGTATGGTCCCCAAGTAAAAGAATGCTTGTGTCCTAAATGAGGAAACAATTGGCGGAACTAAATAAAATGAGTTTCCTTATTGTTTTGATCACGTAAATTTTCTGATGAAATAAATGCAATTTTTTAGTGTTAAAGTGAGATGTGCATGGCCAGTTTGGAGCAAACAGATTATTCACAGAATATATTACCTTGTCTTTCAACTATAGATGATAATGTAGCATCTGCCTGTGATTGAATGATTGGTGCTGTTGCAAACTGCTGTACTGACAAAGCATTGCCGGCTTGATGGCCATAACCTATGAATAATGAATACACGTCTTGATTTGTGAAATTCCTTGCGATATGACTGCTAGACACAATATTATTACCACACAGGTTAATGTCAGATGATGTGCTATCACTGTTTTTGAATGTTGAATGAGGTCTAGATGTTGAGGTTACGTGTGTCCTTTTTGACCTCTTAGCTTTAAGCATGTTAGCTTTAGGCCTATAGCTACGACGGTCACTCGTGGTGAATTTGAAATATGTAAATAAATCACTAAAACATAATTGCATTAAACAGACTGTGGATATGTTTATCGAATTATTACATTTATGTTATTTGATAAAACTGATGTAAATAATAATTAAATGCCGCAAAGCCTATTAAGTCGATAAAGGAAGCAAACAGAGCCATAAATCTATAATTAATCAATTGAATAAATGTTACTTAATACAGTAGAAAACTTCTATAGCAAAAAAATATCAAAACGAAAAAAACATATAATTCGCGACAGCAGCCACGAGGACTAATTGAAATTGCTATTGTCTAGCAGAAATAGCCTATGTCAATATGAAAATTATGCATAAAAAAGTTTAATAATGATTGAGATATAACAGAAAGCCTTTTCAATTAATATTTAGCTATCTTTCTAAGGCTTAAAAATTAAAATAACTTATACGTTTTTTTCTGACCTGTTCCGCTTTCTGGAAGTTTCAAAAAAACGCTGTCACGTAAAAATTAATTTCAAGAAAAATGAAATCTTCTTGATAATGGTCTTAATTTGAAAGTGAGGTTTTGGTTAAACCCCACTGCAAAAACGTTGAAATCTTTTCAAAAATTGAACAACTGATTGATGTTCCCTGTGGCAACATTTTTAAATCAAAATCTATTTTCAAACTTAATTCCTAATAAATTGAAATCATTAGGAAGAACAGGACATAAATAAAATGCAGATTGAATGTCAAATTTATCCATTTACACTCCCGTGCCTAAGTTCTGGATCATATTTATATTATCAAATTTTGAATATTGGACAGAACAAAAGCTTGGATCAATAAAATCATATACGCTTGAACCTACAGGGTGGGATAAATTTGTAATAAGACTATTCTCCTGAAAATCTTTTGATCTGATTTCCTCATCTATAGAAATGAATCCTTATTACTTTATATAATTGTATTTCAAACAATTGTCAAACATTAAAAAACATTTTCTTGACGCTTCATGAAACAGTTATAATGCTATGGTATTATATTGAAAAATTGAAACTATAATATTATTCACGTTAGCATTAACACTTTTACAATAATAATAATATAATGTTTTAATTGTTTAAAGATAATCCTACTTCCTTGTTTTGTTTTATGCAATATAAAGAAACCCTTGATAACTGTTCATGTGAATTTGTCAAGTACTTATGTAGATAAATTAACCAAGAATGTAATAACATCATAAAGTGTTTTTTTAGAAACAAAATGTAACAAAATATCATTACTATTTTGTTTGAAGGAAATACAAAAATCTGGAAACAAAGTGATCTTTCGAAAGCATTAATCACAACAAAATTACTTATTTTTAAACAGAATTCTTAAAAAAGTACTAACCTGTATAACTAAATAGTTGGTCGCTGCCCGTTGAAAGTGTTTCAAAGGAAGTTGACTGCTGCAAACAAAGACAATACAATACTAGATTAAAAAAACAAGAGCCACCGCCCAGCGAGGGCCAGTTTAAACTTTATCTAACTTCTAAATTCAAACATGAAGAATACTGTAGTTACGCAAAATCAATTTTCTTGCTTAAAATCAATGTATAATTCAACTTTTATATTTGACCTTGATAGAAATGGTCATATACAAATAAAAGCCATTTTTAAATTAGCTTGTCGGTGTTGACATGAGTGTTCTATTGTCCCAGTTATAATGATAAATGTCGAGAAGACGACGTTAAATTAGCGGCAACGGTAGGCAGACAACGTTACGTTGGCGGGAAGAAGAGTTGATATGATGTCATTTGTTATTATTTCGCCGTTAATAAACATTATTATATTAGACACAACATAGATACGTTGTTTTATTATTCAAAGACCATTTTACATTTCGGTGCCGTGACAAAAACAGAAGTTATAAATATTTTGAGACTAAAAAATAAAGAAGTGCACACAAGTCTGTAATAACACGTTAACTGGGCAAATTAGAAGAATATAAGGGCAATAATACACACTTTACAACCATTCTTGAAACACTACCTTACAAACTGAAGGCACTGGGAGAGATCAACGAGGACATAATGTTGCAGGTGGACGAGGTAGACATAAAGGCCGAGATGATCGAGACAGAGGACTCTATGCTGAAAGTTCGGCTACGCAAAGATTTGGAGGCTCAACACCACGCTGCCGTAGCGGTCAACCGTTCCCCGTGAGAAGAAATGTTGTTAAGTAATTAACTTTCTCTTTAAAGCCTATCTATTCCTTTTCTTTAATTATGCCGTCGTACTTGTAATAAAAGAGGGACTTCACTTAGTCGTTATATGGTGTTTTGAGTTCTTCTTAATGTGATAATGTAGTTGTCGGGTAAATTAGGATGATCAGGATGACCATGTTAAGAAAGCAGTATACTGGTCATTCTTAATGCAGTACTTTTGATAATCATGTAAGTAGTCAGAAGCTTGTTCTTCCTCTGCGGCTGGATTTCTTGTTTTCAGAATCGCTCAAGATTATCAAAATCCGATGCAGATGTAATGATGTTCATAATGTAGTTCTTAGCTAAATTTGACAACTTCACCGGAAGTAGTCCGGACAGAAGAAAGCTGATTTTGAATTAACAGCTGATGGTCTGTCGTTCCGTATTATATGGTCGCCAATGATTTCCAAATAGTTATCTCCTCCTATGAGTAATGATATATTTGTCAATGTCTGGTACTGGGTTTGCTAATTTAAACCTCGTGAATATGGAAAATGTGCGACAGCTCGTATTTGGTTACGTATAGGCACATCAATGGACGTATAATTAAAACATCAAAGGCAATTTTCGCTGAGTTGTAGTTTATCAGTTAAACCATGTCGGTTTGAAAATGATCGGCCTTCTTAGACTCTACCCCGAATGTAGCAAAAAAGACAACTTCACACCAGCGCCTCTGTAATTGCTGTCAATCAGCGATTTCATGAGCAATAAATGAACGTTGAGCTTCTTTATCAAATTATATGTTTGCTTTAGCACAGGTTTAGCCTGAAGTAACCTCAGCAACAGCAGTCTTTTAAGCAGTACCTTGTTACTAATTTGTGATATAAAATGCAGAAAAGCCGACTATGCACTTGAACCAGAAGTAAGATGCTTTGATGATTCATTACCGGAAGTAGGGACAAAACTTGTTCAGTGAGCTTCCGATATTCTGATTGCAAATGTTGGTATGGTGTTTCTGGTTGCATTTTCTACAACGGCGTGACAGGAAGCAATAAGGTGTTGAAAAACAGTTTCTTATGGTGAATAATGACTTTTCTCTCCTTATGATTTAAAATGTGTTAAAAGTAACTTGCAAAATGATTTTCACTTCAAAATGGACATGTAGGTCGTTGGGATATTCGTACTCCTTGTATATGCTTAATGTGTTCTTCTTTTGTTTTGGCCTTGTGCTTGTAAAGATTGACACAGTTGCCATATGTAGTCTTTGTAAGCTGGCATGTGTCTGCTACATTGATCTCCATCTTTAACCCTTTCGCTGCCAGAGGGTTATTTATTTATTGATCACCTATTTGCCAGAAGGTTTTCTAAGAAATTACTATATTATTAAATTAATATAATTATTATTATTTGTTATTAGTATTATAATAATTATTCATGTTTCTAAATCTGCTAGTATATAATAATTATTGTTGATGGTAAAATTATCTATATATTTATTATAATTATTATTATTATTATTATTATTGTTATTAATATTTTAATTATTATTATTATTATTATAGAAACGGCAAAAGCCGTCCATATGGAAAATACGTCGGAAATAACAGGGATGGCAGTAAAAGGGTTAGTTCGGGAATGTGCCAGAACTTATGTACTTACAGAACACACAAAAAATGATGGCATCTGCTGGTTTAAACTTGCGGGCCTGAGGCTGTGACAACAGTTCCCTGCGCAGAATTGCGGAAGCGGAAGTAGACGGAAGAACTAGCGGAAGTTGAAGCCGTAACTGAAGAATTAACTAACATCCTCGGTATGAAATGGGACCCGATATCAGACCAGATTTTCCTAGCACAGAGAACCATTTCTACTGCCTAATATATAAGAAAAGGTGTCATACTCAAAGAAACAGTGAAGATTAATGTTACCCTTGGCTTCCTGGCCCATCTCAAAAAACGTACAAAAATACTTTTCCAGATTTTGAAATAAAAATTCGAGTGGCATATGTCTTTGACTTACAGACCAAATGGCATAACATTGCTGAAGACTTAAACAGTGTAACCCCTACCAGATACCCCAAAAGTTACTTAAGGAAACTGGCTCTATGGTATTTACTTCCGTACATGCGACAGTGCTGCTAGCACATCCTCAGAAAATCATCTTCATGTGTTTAGCGTCGCCAGCCATAAGGTTTATGGATCAGTGATATACATGGTGACCGGTCTGCAAGTATTATGTCAAGGACATGTTTCGCACCTGGAAGCTTCTGACATTATCAAAACTTGAACCAATGACTGCAGTGATTGGTTAAAGAATTCAGCAACACGTACAACAGACGATTCCTACAGCGTCCGTACGCAAGTGATCTGACAGTCAAATTGTTCTTCAATGGCTTTCCTCCAAACGGAAATTGAAAACAAGAAAAAGTATCTGAGAATCACCATCTTACAGAGAGCAAAAGGTGGATGTGTATCGTCCTACCGAGCGCAGTCCGGCTGACATGTTGAGCAGAGGAATTACAGCTGCTGAATTTCTGAAGAGCAGATTATTGGAGAAAAATCCTGATTGGTTGACCGATGACGGTGGGAACCCGGGCCAACCTGTTTTGCTCGCAGATACGGAAGAAAAAGATGACATACTTCTTACCATAACAACCTACGGCATGATTTTATTGATATCAACATATTCAGCTGTTCAGAAAATTACTAAGAGTGACAGCCTACGTGATAAGATTCCTTCAACATTGCCAATCTGCAAAAACTTAATAAAAACCAATAAGACGTATGCTCTGACGTTAAATGTTAAAGAACTTGCCGATGATGAGAATATGATAAACAAGATCATCAAGGAAAGGCGGCGTTCAATGAACGCAGCCCCCATTTGACCTAGCAATAAGAACCAGTGGCAAGGAGCCCAGTCGGACCCCAAACAAAAACAGGACAGGGCAAAGACAGAGCACGGACAGGTTAATCACTAAATGACAAACAATTTGTAACTGATTAGGAATTCAAAGAAAACAAATAAATGATTGAATAATAGGTCCACAAAGTCAAAGGCGAAGGGGACAGGAGACCGGGGAAAGGGGGGGGGGGTTAATCAAAGAAATAAAAACTAGGGGTAAAGGGGAATATACTTACCGTAGACGAGAAAACAACAATGGACACAAGCAAAAGTGTCACCAAAACAGTATGAGACAACATAGACATACATCTGAGGAACACAGAGGGGCGCCGCCTTGGAACGGTCAGCAGCATAATAATGAATGCTGGGGAGTTTAAACTAAACCTCGCTGTTAGCTCCACCATGTTCCTATAAACAAGACACCGTAAATAAAATGAATCCCCGCCAAGTGAAATTCTAACAGTTGTTATGGTTACAAAAGGTTAAATAAGTAAAACACTAAAATGATCATGTAGAAACATATAAAAGTAAACCCAATGACCATAACAAAAGAACTCGATGTCTTAAAGGAAGACATAGCAACAAGAAAATCACTTACAAGGGTCCGACGAAGCAAGACAGAAGACAAACATTAAGGCAATTCAGTCCCAAAGGGCTTTAAGAACTGTCCATCATAGAGTCTCCCACTTGGTCCGTCAGATGTAATCAAAAGAGGAAAGCGTAGCGTCCAACTGTAAATGGGTTGAACACTAAGCATGCGGTATTTCTTAAAATAGTAGGGTCATAACCTCATGTGACTGATTAATATCACCGAAGCTTTACATGTGTTTTGAAAAAAAAACGAACATGAAGAGGGCATACAATTGTCTTTTTGCTTATGCTTCAACCAAAGCTGTTCATTTTGAGGAAGTCTCAGATATGACTGAATGCTCATTTTTAGTAGCATTTAGGCGATTAAGTAGCAGAAAATCTCTATGGAAGATTATGATATCAGATAACGGAACAAGTTTTCAAGCAGAAGCAACTAGAACTGCCATCGTCATGGCGTGAATACCCCCGCATACCACTTCAGAATCAACAGTGGTCATTTAGAGCTCAAGAACAACCTGCCAGTCACATCTGAGGTTACTAAGCCAGTCAATTGCTAAGTTATGTATTCTACAGGCTTCAAATGTAAAATTGTCAAAATCAATACACTGCAGACAGGCATTCTTAAGCATTTGAGCAGACAAGCTTATTATAGTAAAAATCCCAATGACCTTGACCTTTGAAGTTTGTTTCATTTTACGTATTTCAGTCATATAGGCGGGAAGATTCCTAACCATCGTTCCTGGAGAGTTACACCAGTACTAGTCTACCTTCCTCCGTGCTAAACTATCAAAGCATCTCCCGGGGATCGAAACCACGCCAGAGAGGTAACTGGATTAGAAGTCATCGACTCTAACCCCTCGACCACGGAGATTATGTTCATGGTGGGGATGGTAAGCAGAAATATTTTGATTGTGTTGATGATGATGATGATGATGATGATGATGATGATGATGATGATAATTTGATGGTAAAATGTTACAGGCGGTTCACAAATATTTAATGTATTCATAAGTATTACCTTATATATTTGTTTACTTATTAGTGACATGTTATTATTTCGCATTGTATGTTAAGGACACACAAGAACAAAGGACATAAATAATATCTGAACAAACGACAGAAATAATATCTCTACGAATCATGCATAAAAATCAGAAACAAAAATGGTAAAATTAGAGGAAAATGAGGAAGAGTCTTTTTATATTCTTCAAAAATGCTTTGATTTTTACATGAATGATAAAATATTGAAAATTTATCTTGTTTTAGCACGCTTTTCTCTTTTATATATGGTGTTCAGTGCACATATGGATAAAAGAAAATTCACATATTTTTTAATTGATGCTTAATCATTAGATCCCCGTGAGTAAGTTTCTTTTTCTTCAAAAAAGCCGAGCTAGAAGTGATTTCGTCTTAATAAAAATAGTTTAACATATTTAAAAAAATATATAATTTAATTTAATCATGTACACAACATAGCATCGAACTAGCTCAAATTCGATTTCAGTAATCGTACAGTAAAGTCTTCTTGTAAATTTCTGATATGCGCATTATGTCGCAACTTTAATCTTAAATTTGGCGGCCAAAGTCAAACAAAGGTCAATGCCATTATTTTTATTATCCAACATGTCGATTTTGTCAAAAGGGTTCTCTTGTCCATTAAACATCTAATTCTAAATCAATGTAATCTTATATGAAATATTACACATTGATGGTCAAGATTGATGGTCAGTTTTTTTTTCTTTTGCCCAGGTATAAATCAGATCTATGAATAAATAAAATTGAGGTCAATGTTAAGTTCGATAAAATCTTCTTTAATAAGTTGTCCTTACCACTGCTTTACCTAACTATCTATTCATTACTGACAAATTGAATGCCAATTAAACAAAAAGTCTGTAAAATTACAATAATTTGACCTTCAGAGCAAGTATCCTTTTTGAGTCAAGGTCGAATTGAGTTTTATTTTCTTAAACGCATATTCCTAAGAAAAGGTGTGCTCAAATATGAAGATAATCCATTTGTAAATGACAATATTATGCAACTTACAGCAAAGTCGAGCAAAATAGATGGATCTGACCTTTAAGGTAAAATTCATTAAGAAGTGAAGGTCATAACCAATTAAGTCCATTCATAAATAGCAAAGTTATAGTCAATTATAGCAAAAATTGGTAATTATCTTTACTGTAAGCAATGTTTACCTTTTCATGTTTTTCAACATTGATAGTGGAAATTTTGATTTGATCACAGGATTCAATCATAAGATGCGTGAGCTCGTTTTGCGTTGAAAGGTTTAAAATATAAGCACAACCTCCAACTTTGGGTTGCACACCATCCGAACGTTTTCCAGATAATCTTTTCAAATGACCTTCACCATCAGGCTGATCCGATACACCTCTTAAATGATCTTCAAAATTTGGTTGACCATCAGACACCCTAATTATTGTCAGATGTTGTAACGGTGCTTGTTCTAATAATGGTATCAGTGATGCTATATTAACAATTACGTCTTCCAGGTAAACTTTGCTTAGTTTTTTGGCTGATGCATGAGCAAATTCTAGTACTGGTATCCTAGTATGAGTACAGACTTTACCATATAGATCACTGTTTACGATGTATACTTGTTCAAGTTGTTCAGTATTTAATCCTGTAATTACTAAAGTTAAACAGTTTTTTATTTTTAGCTTTTGGAGTTGATGATGTCTAGACAGATCAATATTTATATAATCATTACTCAACGTATCAGTTACAGAATCTAATGTCAGTTGTCTTAAAAATGCTGCGTTTTGTATAACTGACTGTAGTGATGTCATATCTATACTTCCATGACATTTTTCAATGTACACATCTGTCAAATTGCTGGCTGTTAAAAAGCAAGAAAAACCGTCACATTGTATAATGTTTATACTTTCAAGATGTTCTGTGTCGAGGTTAGAAATATCTATATAACTACAGCCAGTCAGAACAAGTGCCTGTAGCCGGTTCACCATAGAGAGATCTATATCACAATCAGTCACATTACTTAACCTAAGTTGTTTTAAATATACTTTTTCGGCAAACAAATAAGGAAATCTTTGATATTGATTGAAAGGGTTCAAAGATACATGCATGTTTTGCATGTGTTTGCATTTTGTGACATATTCCCCAACGTCTTTGTTGTATTCACCAAATTCATAACTAAAGTCAATATACAGAGATATCACATACTCTGGGTTTATTTTGTGAAGAGGTGGAATAGGTTCATCGCCACTTATGTAAAGATCACTCAGGCTGATAATTGTTGTGTTATCAGAGTCAAACTCGTTAAGACAAAGTACCATGAGCCTTTGTATCTGAATTAATACATCATGATATCGTATATCCTCATTTCTTCTATGTTGTAAAATGTGTCCATCCTCATTCACAATACTGGAAATTCTTTTTGACAAACTTCCAATAATATCGGGGGACAATCCACAAAACAGTTTAATCAAATTAGATAATTGTATTACATCACAAGTTAATTTGCATCTTAGAAACAGAAGATCTAGAGCCGTATCCTCTCTATTTGTAGAGGCGGTTTGAGCCGTACCATAATATATTGCAAGATACAATGCGGCAAAAAACTCAATATCACAGATATGGCTGAATGAAAATTTTGTTTCTTCAAACAACCGACCAAAGCATCTACTTTTATTGAGGATACCTAGATCTGTAAGCTGTTTTATGTCATCTTCCGATAAATGCATTTCAAGATTTGACAGACCAAATGTGGCTTGTACTTTGTCAGAAGTACAAGTTTCAAATGCTATTTTTCCTAGACGAAAAAGAATGGGTATATATTCCTGTATTCTGGGAAATCTGTTTAAACTATTTATCGGATTTAAATTATTGTAATCTACTATTGGTCTAATGAGGTAGGGTCCTTTTTTTCTGCGGTCTGAATAGGCAAACATGATATTCAAAATTACACAGTGAGTTTCGCATACGGATTTTCCTATGTCTTCACCATTACAGTATAACCACAATAATTGCTGCAAAATCAATGGCGTTTTCACTACATGTTCTATATGTTTTATCTCCAATTTTTTAATGAATTCATCGTATGTCTTATTGGTAACATGCGTGTTAGAAATATACCTTTCGATGAATGATCGTAATGAATCACCAGATATACCTAATAACTGTAACTTGAGATCCACTTCTGAGTTTTCCAAATTAAGAATTCCTTTTGCTGATGGTCTAGATAATGTAATGACTGTTGCATCGTTTGTCTTGTCTCCGTTTGGTATCCCGTAGCTTACATGTGGTTTACACACAATTTCTTTAGGAGGCGTCCATTCATCCAAGCTATCAGCAATGATAAGACAACGCATTGAGTCTTCTTGGAATATTTTGTCAATCAACTCTGAATTTGAAGTGAGGTCTCTTGTAATTTCTTTAATCATCTCAACTGTTGAGTCAGACTTAAAAGCAGACATATATTGTAACGGGATATAGAAAAGAAATTCATATTGTGCTACCTGACTGACATTATCGTACTCACTTTTTCTATTTACATCACTGGATACGGCTTTTGTTGCGTCATGACCATTTTCAAAGCAAATCAATTCATTGGTGCTACTTTTTACGGCGTCACACCAGTTTTCAATCATCATTTTACAGAAAGTACTTTTTCCTGTTCCAACATCGCCCAATATATAAATCTTTTTATTTCCTTTCGTTTGAAAATGTTCGTGGTATCCTTTCACGGTGTTCTTCCCTGGCTCACTTTTATTAGTATTCACAGATTGATTTTCCATTCTGTTATATCGAACTTTATCCAATTGATTTGTTTCCACGTCTGCTTTTCTGCTATAAAGTATCGTATCCTCTTCTTCCGCTTCTTCCGCAGAATTTCTGGCAGTCTCTCCTCCTCTTCTATTCATATCTTTTTTTTCTTCAATGACTTTTATCTCAGGGGGTACATATACATCTTTCACGTTGATGCTTTCTTGTTGTTGTTTCAATGGTGACAGTGATGTTTTCACATAATACTTCTTGTAATATTTAACAAGCTCGTCTTGTAACTCTGTGCAAAAGGTAAAATCATGGAGAAAATGCTTACATCATAAGATTATGAAAATTTGACATAGGCTCAGTAATGCTAGTGATAAATAAGGACTGGATAAGTGCCGCTATTTAAAGAAGCATGATAAATATTGTTGTCTCAATAATTTATGTAATTACCAAATTTGTAAATCTTCAAATGCAAATTTAACTTCTTTATAACATTACTATGGTTGACCAGATGCGTGTACTGGCAAAAGGATGTTAGTTGATTACATATCAAAACATGTTTATGTTTAAATCAAATCTATATGTCCTTAAAATAAAACCAACTTTATTCCAAATGGCTTTGCAATATGTTAATACAGATATAGATGGAAGTTATTCATTGTCAAACTATTAAAAAACTACTACAAAATACTCCCGTGATCGATTTTTTCCATATAAAAGAAAATGGATTCCTTAACAATCAAACAGCAAAATATTGTCAAATTGTGCAGTCAAAAATCGATTTTTTGTTTGTTTGATTGTTTTTAATATCGCACCAACACAGTATAGGTCATATGACGACTTAGAAGCTCAGCTTTACGTGGGAAGGAAGACCTCATGTGCCATTCTGTGCATTTTTTCGGACACGACCGGGCACCTGAGTAGAACCACCGACATTCCGTAAGCAAGCTGGATAACTTCTTCACATGAAATAATCATAAGTCCCTGTCTAGAATCGAACCCACAGCGATGAAAAGAAAGTGGTTTGAGGTCAACGACCTCAACCACTCCGCCATGCACGCCCCGAACATCGAGCTTACAATTAAAAACTGCGAGAAGCGTCGTAAAATATGTATAAATGAGACGTCGATGAAAATAAACTATTAGTATTCGAACATTCCGTTTTTATATATTCCATGTTTTGCTTTCAAAGACTTCTTGTAAAAAAGATTCTGTTAAAATCGGATAGCCCCGGCAAAGAATTTTTAACAATAAAATTTGACGCGTTATTAGAAAGGATGAGACAATGAGGTAAAATAATTCTCAAAAACACTTCTTCCTTTTTAAGCTATTTATCGTTTTCATTATCAGTTAATAACGACAAGATTTAATAGAAAATATGCGACTGGTAAATTCTCCGCCGAATAGAAGAAAATTATGAAAATGGAAACTTGTAGTCCATTTGGACACAGTGACATTAAAATACGCATGAAAGGGCAATAATCCAAAAAGTTCAAAATCATGAAGCATATACAGAGCAACAAAAATAACGATATGGGGAGTTGTTTTACCTGTCGACTATCTTCCACTGATGTTTCAAATTACATGTAATTTGAAACATCATTGGAAGATAGTCGACAGGTAAAACAATAATAGAACCGTTTATGAGTTATGGTGTTAACGAAAAGTATGCTGGAAAAGAAACAAAAGACAACTTAATTTAAAATGTGAATTGAAGAATTTTAAGACTTAAAAGGACCTCACTGAAGTTTTTTACATGACAGAACTTGAAATATTTTCCGACATTTGTAAACCATTTAATGAGAGTGTTAACCAATAATTTGCGTACATATTTTCATAATTTATCATCCCTCGTCCCTGTTTTCAGTATATTCATTTTTATTGTGCAAAATGACACACACAAAGTATGAAAATTGTTAAGAAAAACTCTTTCTCTCAAATTTGGCTAAATATCACTAAAAAGATATTAAATGTAATTCTGAGTATAGTTCTAAATTATCCTTTGCAAATTGCTGCTTTACTTGATCTTTGTAAAACGTTAATATTTGATGTTGTCTTTTTTGACCTCAGTGGAGATTCTTTAAGTACCGCGCTTCTTTTTAAAGATACCTATCAATCTATAAAATTTCAAGTTGATATCAAAACACTTATCATGTTGCGTTCTGGCAAAAATTAAGCATGAAAAGTACCGAAGGTCGGACGGACGATGGCTTTTTCGATGGGGGGATAACAAGCAACTCTAAATCAATTCTAGATCATTCATACGTTAACAAAATTTAACTGTTTAGCAACACCAGTATATTGTCAGGAAAATTCATTTAACCGAAGATATTAAAAGTCCGTTCTATAATTCACACACATATACTGTAAACAACGAACATACATGTATACTTATAGTTTATTTACATCGACCCCCGTTTTGCAATTATAGAACAGCAGGTGACATTATGATAACTTCAGTATAGTATAGATTTAATGTTTTAAAGCTGCATGTCCTCGATGAGCCAAATCCTTTCAAGACATCAACCCTGCGAAAACTTTCCTGAGATTTTAAAGTAAAGCAAAATGATGAAACAGAAAAGTAATGATTTCCATGTTATGTGCGATATATGATTAAATTTCCAGTATACTTCACCATACCTCTACAGCCTTACTAACACATTGGCATATTTGGCCTATTTTTGTAATTTGCAAGGGTGTAAGAGCCGTTTGCAATGTGTATTTTTGTTCACTTCATTTATAGATTTTCAAAATTATGAAATAAACAGGTATGTAAAGATGTGCTGCTTTAACTCAAAACACTTATTTATCACCACACAATCAAATTCATATATAAAAAATACATTCTTACTTTGTTTATTTTCCAAATACTCCAGTCTTTTCTTTGTCTTCTTTTGATTACCTATATCTTTAAAGGCAGTTATGTCATCCTCTATCTTTGACAGACGCTATCAGACAGAACAATTATAATAATAAAATTTCAATATGGTTTTGCATCATGGGTTATCATCCAAAGACTTTGAGCATTTTTGAACGAATAACAAGCAATAACTGTTGATGTGATTGTATGGACCGCTGTGACTGTCTTATGTGATCAATGTTTTTGATATGATATTATTTTGTCGTTTAAGCATGTGCAATTCACATCATGTCTTGTCAATGGATTATGCTGACTTGTTCAAATAGCATGTTGTCCAATTATCACGATGACATGTGCAGACAACATGTTAACTTGTCAAAGTTTCGTGATGATTTGTGAAAATAACAAAATAACTTGTCAAAATATATAATGACTTGTGCAAATGACAAGTTAACTTGTCAAAATATAATGATGACTTGTGCAAACGACTTGTTAACTTGTCAAAGTATTGTGATGACATTTGCAAAAGACATGTTAACTTGTCAAAATTTCATGATGAGATGTGCAAACGGCATGTTAATTTGTCGAAATATCATGATGACATGTGCACAAGCGTGTTAACTTGTCAAAGTATCGTGATGATTTGTGCAAATAATATGTTAACTTGTCAAAATATAATGATGACTTGTGCAAACACCATATGTTAACTTGTCAAATTATCATGATGACTTGTGCAGACAAACATGTGAACTTGTCAAAGAAGGGT